AGAGAGAGAGAGAGAGAGAGAGAGAGAGAGAGAGAGAGAGAGAGAGAGATCGCGATAGGTGGATAGAGAGGAAGAAACGTACTTCAGATGCTTTCAGATAAAATTCCTTGCTCCGTATTCTTATATTCCATAAAATCCTCTACCAAATAAAATGGTTTGGAAATTCCTCAAGCCCTGCGCTTCACGTCGCGATCGCTTCACGATGACACACACCCTCAAAATCCGTGAATAACGCATTAACGAGAAGCTGGCCCGTTTGATCGCGCTCATATGCGGGCTCCGATCGACCGTTGACGACGTTCTCCACGTTATACTTAACGGCGATACACACCGTGCGGTACGGTAGGATGACGCGACGCGAAGGAGGTGAGGCGGTGGAGGAAGAGGAGCAGGAGAGGAGGAGCAGGAGAGGAGAAAGGGGCTCTCCTGATCCCAGGAACGCTAAACGACTACTCATCCCTGTTAAACTGTTTGTATTTTCACTCGTCACGGCCACGTCGGTTGTTCGAGGTGCTCATATCGACACTCGACCCCGAATCGATCGTGACTCTTCATAAATTACTTCCACAGGCCAGTACGCGCGCGAAGGCGCGCGGAGATGCGCATTGCACTTTGGCCGAGTCATCATTAGCCGGCCACGATATATCTTTATCCATCGACAACATCGCGCGTGTCCTTAAGTGAAATCATGATTCGGTGGACGGACGCGCGTCGATAGCGCGGCGAAACGAGCGTGCCACGGCATTCCAGCGTTAATCCAAACCCCTTCCCCTGGTCCGTCAAAAAGCTCGACGGCCGAGTCGCGAGAGAGCCGCGTCGTGAAAAGCTCTCCTCCCCGATCCCGGAAATCAACGTCGGAAACTCCGTCCTCCTTCCGCGCGAATCAAACTCGAAGTGAGAGTCACTGACCCCCCGTCGCGTCAGGTGGTGCATCGAGGTGCGTTCCCAGCTTTCGTGTGCTACGTGTGCTCCCTCTCTGTCTCGCGAACACGTCTGTACGCGTGCGAATGCACAGATGCGCGTCGATAGGACAGACTCTGTTGGATGTGTGCGAATCGCGATTGCGAACCGCGGCGATGCAACAATCGTATTCGCGAGGAAAGGACGTTATCGTTCCTTCGACGGCAGTGGATAAACGGACGCGGTCGAATTAATCTTTAATTCGATCGTTTCGCGCGCACGCCGCGAGCGTCCTTGCGACTTCGCCCATTAAAGATGGATAACAAACCCCGAAAATGTCGATAACGTAGAAGCGATTGTCAAGAGATATCAGATGTAATGTCAGGTAAGCATCGACACGATCGCGCTATACTTTTCGTATTTCTTGTAGATAGAGATCTTATATAAATGTGCGCTGCTTTATTTGGTCATATTTAGTAGTTGGGAGAAAAAATATCTAAAAAATAGTAAATATTTATCTGATATGTACACTAATAACATATGTGTATTTAATCGTAAATTTAAATTGTTTTATTTAAATAGAATAAACAATTGCTCTCATGAAAAGGTTTTAAGTTTTTAAAAAAATCTATGTTTTCTTATTTGAAAAATATTTTACATAAGTAAATATGTTATTAATATTCACCGAGTAAATATTTACTATTTCTTAGATATTTCTTCCCTTAGTGTAGAAAACATAACCACACACAGATAGAAGTCTTTCTGCAAACTTTTCGTGTGTCTGTAAGCTTCCACATTCAGTTGCACAACAGGTACAACAGTGTCCTCTGAAATTTTCTTGAGCGTAGAAAACATATTTTCGGTATATATACGAGCTACAGAACTTTTGTATCAAGTAAATATTTATGCTGACCAACAGCTTAGGATGTCAATTTTCAAATTTTGTATCGCTTTTGTCACACATTGGGTAATACTTCAATTCACTTCCAATGCGTTAAAATTTTTGTAACTTTGTACAACCAATTACCATCGTAAACTTTGCAAAAAAAAAAAAATGAAAATTTGATCAGTAAGGTTTTCAAGTATGGCATCCCCAACAGTCGGAACGCGGAGCTCCAATGAAATGCACCTTTTCCCATTTCCCTCGTTCCATCACGTTCCATAAGCACATAACGACACCTGGTAAGGATACATAAGGATCTTTGGCTATCAGCGAAGTATATAGGAATACGTAATCACGCGATTCTCAAAAATTCTTCCCCATATGTTTCAAGATTAATATGCAGATCGTCGCGCAATTATGCAGGCGACGAGAACCCGGCGAGTTTTCGTCGACATTTTGCTGGGAACCAAAGAGATTTCGAGGAGAAACTCGTCAGCCAGCCAGAGGCAGGCAGAGGATGATACCTTCAATTCCGCCGAATTCGCGCTGCGAACCGTTCACGGTGATCCGAGCGGCTGAGAACGCAAGTGCCTGATTGATTTTTAAGCGATCTCGCGCGATTCAACCGATCGAGCGATCCTCGATGAGATCCGTCGCGTCGAGAGAGCAGGGGACACTTGTTTGCTCGTATCTCGGCCCGAAGATATGCAAATGCACTCGTGCTCTCTTGGCGCGAGGTCTCCGCGAACGATCAGACAAACGGACCATTCAGCGACTGCTGCAGTCACAGTGCCGTGGCCCATAATGGCGTTGCTATCAGATAAGCTTATAAGACCCGGGTAATCGTAATAGCATCGCAATGGTTGCCAGCTCCTCCGCCTCCATCGTGAACGATGAACGCGATGGTAACGGTGGAGCAGAGAACGATGAACGAGGACGGAGAGGAGCGCGCGTTCGTTTCGTCTCGTCTCTCGTCTCTCGTCTGGCCTCGCCTGGCCTGGCCTGGCCTGGCCTGGCCTGGTCTGACATGGCCTCGCCTGGTCTGGCCTTCTTCCCTATCGCCGAGTCATTGTTTCACCGTAATTAATATTTTAATTGAGATCAGCGGGAATTAATTAACGCAACAGGCCTGTTGAAGTCGTTCGCCCGAACCGTTCAATCGATCCCAACGCGCGCATCAGCATCGAGATTTAATTCACCCTCTTATCCGTCCTCTAATATCTCTATCAGGGACATGAGACGCGAAACCTCGATAAGGGTGCGATTTGCGATCAAGAAAGAGAAGAAAAGGGTTATAAAAAGAGAAAGAGAAAAGAGAGAAAGAGAAGGAGGAGAGAAAGATTACGGTAAATCGACAACTCATTATTGCGCTCTTTTCTTACACATTATTTCTCGACTTGAGAGATAATTTAACGTTTCAAATCGTTAATTATTTCGCACTTTTCACGACTATTATTGATACGAATAATGAGGAAAAAGAAAATGAGAGATCCATTCTCTCACGATATTAATATCAAAAACAGAGGGAGTAATGTACTCACGACTGTCTGGATATAATCCGAATGAATACGGGAAGGAATATTCTGTAGCCCGATAGAGCGGTATAAGTACGCGGACGCATGGACACTCATACATCACATTCGTAATCGGATAAAAAGCTAACGACGCGGCGCGTACAAGCCGCATAATCACTTAGGACGTGGTCCTAGCACGAGCGCCAAGCCGAATATCATAGAAATGGATACAAAGGGGCCATCAGCAGCCACGGTAACGAGCCCCGGTCCACCCCATCGCACATCCCCCATTGTTATCGCTCTTCGCGGCGCATCAGCGCCGACTCAAAAACACGCTCTCCCGCAGTTAAGCCGTGCACATTCGCGCGTCTAATTCCGCGAATGTGGCCAGCGGCAGGTACTCAACTCAGCGGGCATGCACGTGCTCACTCTCGCGCCCTCATGTTCTGCAGCCCTCTCCCCCGTTCTCCTCCCCCTCTCGTTCTCTCTTTCTCTTTACGCTCGCTCAGTCCTTCTCACATCTCGAACAATAAAAGGAATACGCGGTGTAAAGCGGATAGCGAACGCGGCGCGTTCGCCCTCTTCAGGGTGGAAACGTTTTAATAAGCGGACGTGCGCGCTCGCTCTCCGAGGGGGCGTATAAATATATTCGGTTGCTCTAGCGGGGAAAGCGGCTTGGTTCTCGCGCTATGAAAGAGTGAGACGCGATACGAGGTAGAGAAAGAGAGATAGAGAGAAAGAGAGAGAGAGGAAGATGGGGAGGAAGAGAGACAGACCGTAGGAGAGAT